ATGTCGATGGTCCTAGCTTCCTTCGCCCGGCTGCGGCTAAGAGACCGAGAGATGATGCTTCGCATCGCTGAGTCCACTCCGGCGATCCTGGGGCAGTTTGCGGCAGTTGACATCACGAACTTTGGCCTGCAGAGTTGTTGTGCTTTTTTGCAGCACTTTAGAGCCTTTTGCCTTTTCAATATTCTGTTGGCTCTGCGCGGCTATGATGGGAGAATGCGTGCTTCGTTAATCTCGAATGGCACAAGGCACGAGAGCCTCTTCGGGGCTCTCTTCGAGGGGATTCTAGTCTATTTGGGGTATAAAAGGGGGAACCCAATTTTGGGAAATACCCATATACTCCAGCTTCAGGTACTTCCTTGCTGCCTTTGCTCGCCTGGACGTGGAGCACAGGCTCGTGTTCAACCTGTTTGCACGAGAGATCGCAAGGCCGGGTTTCGCAATCCACTTCGGTCATACATGGTGATGCCGTTTGCAGTCAATTGCAGTGAAGTTTTCATACGCTTTCCATAAGATGTTGAGCCCTCATGAGCTTGGTCAACAAGGGCGATTGATAGAAAGTGCGCATGCAACCATTAGATTGGTAGTGCGCAGCCGCGCAGGCGTGCAGACGCCATTATTGACAAAAATATCTGATCCTAAACCCCGACGCGGCTTTTCAACGCTCCACAGGGCTCTGGGATTTGAGAAAACATTGGAGCATCTGAGTCTTTGACTGTCTGCCAGTGACCTTTCACATTGCGCCGCATTCACACGCTCCCTTCCCGGACTGCATGGTTTGCAGCGCAGTTGCTACGGGTTCGCCTTCAGCAGACAGCCGTCTTGAATGGAGCATGGGGAATGCGCACAGGAAGCTGCACGACTTTGATGCTGCTCAACTTGGCGAGCTGGCTGCCTGTCAGCATTCATTGGCGATGCCAGTTCTTTGGAGCCCCACGAAGCTTGCGACCTGATAGCTGCCCAGAGGTCTACGCGTATGCACGCCTCAATTTTCATCACGACCTGCTTCTGGATGTGCTCAAGAAGAGGATTACTGAAGCCTGAGCCCCGGTGCTGCGCTCCTAACGGGTTCAAGGATGAACAACTGACTCGCTTGGCTCATTTGGCCCAGGTGGTTAAAGCCATGAAGCCGTGGCACCTGGCCATGGTTGTGAATGGCTTCGCACGATTGGGGGCGAGATGCTTGACAGCGACTATTCTCGCTCCAACCGTTTTGTTTTTGTGAGCTCCGGGCAAACCTTGGGATGGGCGTGGAGCATGACCCAGCGTCAGCCAGTAACTTGAGGCGACGAGAGATTTTTCACAATTCTGGCGGCAGAGATTGCAAGGAAGATCTCCCAGTTTGAGAGCAAGCCGTGCCCTGGCTTGTCCTCATTTGAGCATTAAGAAATATAATGAGAACTTTGTCTGCATGTTTCATGCCCTGGGCAGTGCTCGAGTCTGAGCTTGGCTTGCGAATTGCAACTGCTGATGTTGCTGATTGCTGCCCAAGGCTTGCGCTGGTGGCAAACGCGTATGCAAAACTTGGCGTCCGAAATCGTGCCTCAGTTGTGGAAAATGGGTCCGCAATGAACATCTTCTGCGGCTGTACGTTTAGTGTATACAGTGGATTGTTGTAAGCTATGATTGTATGCGTGCCCTGCCATCCAAGCAAGCGGAGGTTTTCTTTTGGAGCTGTTGGGGGACGAGGCTTTTCGCCGGCGAGGCGAACTAGCTCCACAAGCTGTTGCTCTCGTCCTGAATGCCCACGCGCGCCTTCAGATGTCAAACCCAGTGCTCTTTGAGACTGGGCGAAGAAGCTGGATTGGACCCCACCATGATCCCCCGTGCTTTGTTTCTACATTGCAGATCACATCACCTCAGACATCCTCAGACATCGCCCACTGCGACATTTGCTGCATATGTGCAAAGTAGCGAAGCATCCACAACTAATCGCAACTTGCAAGAAAGCAAATTCAGAGAGGTATCTCTTTGGGGATGCCGTGGGGGGGGGGGGGGAAAGTCCATAACTCGTCACCAGTTTGGGCTTTGTTTCGCAGCTAAGCGGTCCAGGCGTGTTCGTCAAGCCGAGTTGGATTTCAGACACGATGGTGGTGAGGTGAGTCGACACCTCACCTTGTCATTGATCAAGACTTGAGGGAGGGCATGTGGCATTTGACAGAAGCCGCGAATGCTCGCGAAAGAGCTTGGGCGTGCTCCTATAAGATTGATGCAGAGCTTGCAGGGAATGTTTGCAACTGAAGCTGAGGATTACTTTGTGCAGGAAGTGCCTCGGCGCATTCGATCCCACAACCTGCAATCGCTGTGCATGGTCGCCAGCGCTTATGCCAGACTACGTCGAGGAGATGAGGCACTCTTCGAACCTCGGCCTACCTCGAGGAGTGGCATCCTGTATACATGCAAAGTTCAAGAAACAATGCTACGTGAGTACGCCAGCTGCCCTGCAATGCACAATATAGACACCATCTGAGACGAAGATTGGAGATTATGCTTGTGCAAATGCCTCACAGCTGCTGGTCAAAGCGCTTGCTGTCTATCATGCTGCATCAAAGATTTGTGACATGTAAGCGACTGCAGTGTTTCAAGTGGTCCAGTGCATCAAGGTTGTACCCGCGGGCCCTTGCCACGCTTCTGTACTCGTTTTCAGAAGTTGAAATACGGCATGGCTGCTCGCTTGCATATACTCTACTCAGTACTCTTCTGCTGCGCAGTGCATGTTCACATTCCCTGTCAGCTAAGGCATGCTTTTCTTCAATGCCCCAGAACACGTCGAAATGTATTGCCAAAGCTATACTACTGATGAGCTGTGCATGGTTCATCTCTGAGCTGATGCAATGCACAAGCACCATGAAGGCTTCACCAGCAACTCTGCGCACGGCAAGCTTGCAAGCATGCCTGGCGAGGTCGGCCGCGCATACGGGCGCTTCCAGATGGCTCACACACGTCTTTTCGAAAGCATCAGCTCCGCTCTTCTTGGCCGCGTCCTCGCAATCTCCGAGGCGCGCTCATCCGGTCGGCATCTGCCGTAGTGTTCGGGTGCGCCAACAGTGACGGACAAGCACAAAAGCTGGGGGTGTAACAGTGGATGCTTATGTAGAAGTCGAGATGGTAAAACCGCTGCAATGCTGTAACCACGCGCCAGTTGTGTGGCCGTCCCCCACGTGGTCCTGGTTGTGGTTAAAAAAAACAATTGAGTCTCAGCATTGCGGTTGGTTACGACTCCAGTGAAGTCATTCGGCGCCATCCACATTCACAGGAGCTAGTTTCACTAACTGCAACCGGCAGAAGCCAACGTCACGCAACCGTGCACCGAGAATGTTCTGCAGCTTGGCCACGTTATCCTTGGCTGCTCCAAGTGCACGTGTTTCGCAACGGTGGCTTCGCCCAACGAAGCCCCTCAGGCCAGCCCAAGCAACCCATCACACCAAGGCGGCAGGCTTGGACAGCTAAGTTGCGCGATTGCCTCTGTTTTTGGGGCATTGCTGCAGGGGATCTTCAAGGCATTTTGAGGGTGTAGGACGTCAAGGATATTGGGCTCATGGGGCTTATAACGTTTAAGGTTTGAGCTCGAGGCAATGTGTCCGAAAAGCCAACTGGCCCCACCACCCAGTCCTTGCAAAACTAAAAAAGAGCATCGCCCTAATTCAGGCCTCTGCTTAGTTCGAGAATGCTACAAAATCATACGCCCACAAATGCTTTGCCGCGAATTCCGACAGTCCCTTTGGCTGTCCCCGGCAAGCGCATACCATTTACTGGACCAGAACAGGACAGGACCCATCTGGCACAAACTTTACGTGCTTGAGTCTGTTTGAGTTTTATTGCACCAGAAAGCGATAGTGTAGAAATCAGAAGCGGGTGTTTTAAGGGACCCAAGTGTGAACGCTGAGATGAAATCGGTCTTACATCAACGGCAACACGACTAATTCAGTGGACGAATCTGAGCCCCGACGCGAGCCGCGACGGACTAGTGCTACCGGTTCTTGCGCAGGACGCGAATACAACTCACGCATTGCTTTGTGGTTGGCCGGATGCTTTGGCGAGCGCTAATTTTCTTTTGGCATGATGTAGACTGGGCAAAGGTACATGTCTCTCTGCGAATAATTACACTCATGTCTGGGCACGTGCACATCTACCTGTTTGGGTACGACGCATGCGATGCACACAAAAGAATATTTCTCCGCGTACATCAATATGTTTGTTCGCGTATCTCCGAGCACGTGTATATGGCCCCTCCAAAACCTCAACCCCCACCCCAGTCTCCCCTCGCCCCATCTCAGAACATAATATTTGAACAACTTATACGCAATGATCGCAGCTGCAATGTATTGGCGTATCGCACATGAGTGGGCTATACTTTGTAAAAAGACCCTTAGCTGGCTGAGATATCACGGTGTGACCTTTGTTAAGGACGTTGAAACCAAAAATAGTTTCTGGATTCGGCCGCGCCATCCGGAAAGCAGAGTAATGTCACTCACACGTGCTTGCGATGTGCGTGGACTCGCGCAAGATACTGGGAAGCAAGCAATTTCGGTCGCGGTGCAATTAAGAGGGGTGCAGCAGCAGCAACAACAACAACAGCAACAAGAACAACATGATTCTTGAGTACCGCAGCTTCTGCCGTGTTTTGCCTATATGTCAGTGCACACACAACCACACAGTGACACATGCTGAGGTGCACTTGCATGTTCGCGCTGTCTTCTGTGGATACGGAAAGGCTTACATACAGGCTCACCTGCATGTGTTCGCACACACATGTGCTCGGACGCACAGTCATGCATGTGACGCAAGCACAAGCGTATGTGGACACATAGGGCTGCGCGTGGACAAAATGTCGCGCGCCGAAAGCTCCATATACATACGGGTGTGCACGCAGACGCGCACGCGCACACATGAGTGTGCCATGCGCCACTGAAAACAAAAAAGTCAGAAAGAAAAAAAACAACCAAAAAGGCCGGGCCCGGGAGTATTAGTGGCCGTCTTTTTTCGCTTGTCCAGAACTTGTCCGTTTTGACAGCGACAGGCTTTGCAGCTCAACTGGTTCCGAGACAGCAGAACCCTCCAGCCCAAAACCGAAGCCCCGAAATATCCGGAAAAAAAACACAAACGAGAACAACAACGGACACATTGGGGACTACAGTAGCATCCGGGCCCTGCAGTGCCCATGTGCTCTCGGTTCTGAACCGCCATAGTCTCCGGCTGCTCCATGTAACTTGAACCGCTCAGCTTCTTGGGATCGAATGGGTTGGCTTGGGTGAATCCGTTCAAAAAGGCATTAGCCGGTTGGTCCTTTTGTTCGAGACGGTGACATCGTGCTGCTAGGACAGCGCTTTGCCAAACCGACTTGCAAGCGATGGACCTATGGATCTCGAGGACACATTGCGCATGTTCCGATGGGGGGCGAATCTGAGTTACGGTACGGTGCTGGGCTTGTGTTGTCTTGCTGTACTAGTAGGGACTGCTCGTGAAAACCAGGTGCGACTAGCAATCCCTCTCAGCAGTTTCCAAATGAGTGCCCGAAGTACCCCATTTCATAGATATGAAACGCTACAGTAGCCACCCGTGTCACCGATCGGCTTTAAGTCTCATCAAATCTGTAGCATGACAGACATTGTTCAAGGTGGTTGTAAGTGTAAGGCCCGCAGGTATCATGGCCTGAGAGACCCCGTATCCGGTTGGTGATTTGTGTGGTCCAGCGTTATTGGACGACTACTGTCTATTGAGCCCATTCAGCGCGTGCCTACATCATACTGTGCATGTCATATTGCTCCTTGGGTTTTCAGTCCCCTCCAAGTTCCCCCTCTGCTCTTGACAACCTTCACGCTCTTCACCCGTGCTGGACACAACATGATAGATTGCGGCCTGGAGTAGCGAGTAGACAACTTGAGATTGTGAGGGCAGATGGAGCTCCAGGACACCCCCTAGACAGTGCACCGGTAAGGCGACCGCCACTGGGAGGGGTGAAGTCCCGCCGTCGCCCCCAAAGCATTGCGCTGTGGCTGATGGCTGCAAGGATACAGACACACAAGCTCCTGTGCCCCGAATAAGTTCACTGGTTGGGCTTCTCGAGGCCAGGCTGGCCATGCATGCCATGCTTCTTGTCAGGCGTCTCCAGGAGCATCTTTGATCACCCAGCAAACTGCTGTTTGCCAGCTGTTCGAAAGGCCTATGCCCGCCTGACCATCTACCATGCCCAGACCACCGAACTGCTTTGTGATGCGGTGGTGTGTCGCGAGAAGGACTTGGCTCCACCATTGATCATCCAGGAATCCTGGCTCACAGCTTGGCACCATTTTGAATATTTTGAGTTGTTGAGGCTGGGCCTTCTAGTTTTTCTTTTTTGTGATTCTCAGGCAGCCCATGCTTGCGCAGCGCTGGCATATGCACATCCTGGCATCATCAGGCGACTGCTGTGAGTGCCTTTGGAGGAAGCACGGCGTGACTTCCGCTGACGTATTGTCGCCTGTGTCACAGCTGGCTGAAGGCTGGCCACAGCTTGCATGGCAGAGTCCGGCGAGCAGCTCTCCGAAGAGGTTTGATGGCTGCACTAGGCGCTCAGCTTTTTCGAAGCCGCTGGAGGCTCGCACGGAACAGTCTGAAGTCCATCTCAGGACTTCGATCTCCTTGGGCGCGCGCTGGAAGATCTTGGCGTGCTGGGTGAGGACAGCCGCCTCATGCTGGCCAACTCCTCAGCTAGCTGCGTCAACCATTCCGAAGTGCTGAACTGCGCAAGTTTCTCTGACAGTTTCAGCGTGCAGCCAAGGAAAACAGCCAACCGGATATCACTGCCGCAACTGTCGCAAAACGGTCAGACAGTTCTCGTGGGTCACGGCAGCTAATTAGACCAAGATTCTGCTGTATATTCTCCATGCTCTTTTCACAGCTTGCAGCAATTCGAAACATAGACATCAGAGTCACCAGAATCTGGCCACTTTGGAGGATGGTGGCAGTCCCTTGGTGGCACAGCTGGTGCAAGCCTCAGCTGGCACATGCAACCTGAATTCAAATGTGGGTTTACGATATTAGGGGTACCTTATTGGGGTCCTGATGATGCGTGGATCCTACTGTTTGGGGGTCTATAGTATGAGGGGTCCCTTATTTTTTCGTAAACCCCCAAATGATCGCTGCCTCTGCCGGCGCAGTGTGGTGGGGCCAATGAACTTGGCTCAAGTGGTTGTGTTTGTCAGTGTTGTTGTTCACGAGTTTGTGGTTATAGGGCTGTGCGCGGCTAGTACAAGCAGGACTACTTGCTTTAGGGATACAGATGTAGCTGAATCAAACCGTTCGAAAAGGCCATTGACACCAACTCAACACATGCGGTCCTTGTCCGTGCTGTAAGGTAAGGGTTGAAGCCACACCTCCATGTTCTGACATTGCGCCTCGCGATGGGCGCGCATTGCGGACGCTTCATTCAGGCATGCAAACATCTCCGCACAATCCAGTTCCGTGCGGGGACTCACTTCGGAGGGCGCACGTGTGAGCTGCCCCTTGTCGTCACATCTGCAAGAGAGCTTCATAGTTCAATCGGGTACTGGGTACTGTTGCCCATCATCAGTAATTAACTCCCCAAACACGTTTATCACAGTGCAGCGTCCATACGACTGAGGTGGGACAAAGCAGATAAGGTTGTGCTGACAATTTTTGCTGGCACTTGGAACATGGGAAATGCACAGCCTCCGGATGATCTGCGGGAGACTTTGTGCAGTTTGAATTTATCTTTTGATTACCTTACGGTAAGTTGATGACAGCGCGCAGGTGCTATACTAGCTCCCGAATGCACTTGATGCTGTATATGCAAAAGCATTGTAAATAAATTATAACATATCTATATATGTATATATATATATATATATATGTGAATGTCCTGTGAGGACTGGTTGCAGCCTGGCTATGACATATACTTGATCGGAGTGCAGGAATGCAACTATCACCCACGACCGTGGCTGGACACTTGCGCAAGAGATTGGCGTGCAACTGTGGAGGAAAACTTGCCAGGTTTAGTACAGGTTTGCAAGCACGAGATGGGCCACTGCCAGATCCTCTGCTATGCCACCGACAAAGTCAGCCGATCAATTCACAACGTGGCAGCAAGTCATGAGGAAACAGGACTCGGCGGCTTCCTTGCCAACAAGGGCGGGCTAGCGCTGTCATTCTGGATCGGGGATACAAGCATCTGTTTCGTCTGCTCGCATCTGGCAGCCCATCAACGCAACATCGATCGTCGCAACAGTGACACGGCGCACATCATCGAAGGCATTTGCCTGACAAAAGACCAGCTCAGGCCACTCACGCATCAGTTTCTTGCAAAGCAATAGTAACGAAGTGCTTGCCGACCAGATTATAGAATTTGCTGCAGCATGCCTTGCCGACACCTGAGGTTTACGCATGTGTTCTGGGTCGGTTGCTTGGCAGCAGTGCTTCACAAGATTGCGTTTCCTTACATCTTGTCCTTTGCTTTCCTTGCATTTTACATGAGCGGCTCCGACCTACAAGACTTCTGCCTCTCATGTTGCGCTAGCTAAGGGGATCTGAACTACCGCATTGACCTGGATCGAGAGGCCACACTCAATTGACAGCGCCGCGCAGCCACATGAAGCCGGCATGTAGGATTATGTCAGATGCTGCTTGCTTTGATCTTTGCAAGGCTTGCGAGGAGTTGATCTGCGAGCATGCCTGGGAAAAGCTACGGGAACACGATCAGCTGTTGAAGGCAAGGAGTCCGGGTTTGCACAGAAGGAGGCACCTGTAGCACATGGTCGGACTTCATACATTCTGCTGACACACATCGGCCTCTGCATGTAGGATGCTTGGGGCTTAGGGCTTCTGGATGCTTCTGGCCTCTAAGGGTCTGAGGGCTATCAGCGGCTATCAGAGCTTGCCAGGTGCAGCAAGAGGAAAAAGCCTTCTGGACATTCCAAGAAGGCTTGATGACAGCTGCAAGCTGCAAGCTAGATGCTTTGCCATGGCATGCTTGCCATCCACAGTCTTTGCCGACAGGTCCTCTGAACTTTGCGCCGACATACCAGCACATTCCAGGCACGCGCGACCCGCTTTAGACCCGCACAAACCTTACAGTTTATTACACGCCTTGCCTTGAAGACTTGAAGGTATGGGGCCTGATCCTGAGACAGGCCTACGCCCATATGATCCCAAGAAGGGTCGGGTGCCTTCATGGACAGATCGTGTATTATGGCAGTCGTTTCCTGATGTGGAGACTCGGTCAGCAAAATCAAAAGCGCTGTGAGCGGTAGCGGCGTTTGTAATTCCCTGCGATCTCAGGATGTCACACAGCTACCAGGCTCTTACACCAGTTCTCCTACGTTATGCACCAGTGACCACTCGCCCGTCAGTGCGGTGTTTCAATTGCCCCTGAACAAGCCCTTCCGCATCCAAGAAACCGCTGGCTTCCTGTACATTCAGATTCAGAATCTGCGAGCGACAGGGCTTCCTCCTGGCGACCATCATGTCTCCTTCTGGGGGCAGTACTGTGAAGGAACCAAGCACACCACAAATGCAACGAGCAAGGATGGTTGTGCCCAGTTCAGTAGGGTCACGCTTCGGACCAGGCCAGGCGTTTGCAGCTCTAAGTGGGTGCAAACACGCCACTTGCTAGTTGCCATCTACAAAGTGGATGATGCCCTGGAAAGCGCTCACATGAAGTCACACCCAGTGTCCACGCTCATGGCGATGACCGGGTTGGTGGAAGGTTTCGAGGAGCCGGATGGTTACGGCGTCGTGAGCTTACGCGGCGCGGGAGCTGGCAAAAGCTTCACTGCTGCTCTAAGCAACAGCTGGGGCTACCATGTGGGGAGCTTGCATGGCGAGGTCAAGATTAGTACTTTTCCCACCGTAGAGTCCCGCTCGGACTTCGAGATTGCCAACGTTCTTCCGAAGACTCCAACGTGGGAGACACCGTCAAATGTGAACGCAAGGCTAGAAGACTCTGGAGAGCAATTGTCCGGCTGCTGCTTGAATGTCAAGACAATGCGATTCATGTGAGGCATTCCTAAGCACTGCCTTTGCACAGTTTCTGCGCTTGTCACGTCCGGTGCGGTGTCTGCTCTATTGCAGCCCTGCAGCCCGTGAAGTTTGATTTCCTTTAAACACCTTTAAACCTTTGCGTAGTGATTGCTTCAAGACCGCGCCTGAGGCACTTCCCGGAATTTCGTGCATTCCAGTTTGGATCAGTTCCTTTGTAGGTCTGCGCTAGCTGGTGCTGACCTTTCTGTTCTTCGAACGTGTGCAGCACCGCAATGGTACTTTCATGTGTATATTGGTAAAGCCATTTGCCCAGTCACATGCTGGCCTGGGTTGAGCAGCTCTCTTTAAGCAGAGGTTGCCACATCATAGGGGCAGGTTGCGAGTTCTACCGGAGAGGTCAGCAACGCTGACAGAGATCCAAGTCGTCGTTATCGAGAGAAGCCTTTTGGGCAGTCAATGCGTTACAGACCTTGCTCGTGGAACTCAAGTGCAGACAACTGCACGGCATCATTCGCTTGCAGGTGCTTTCTTGTTGGCGACCTGGAGCCACACCATGCACTGATAGGATTTCAATATTACAAAAGTACGGCCTCTGTGTTTGAACGCTCCCTTGGGTCAGAGAACCAGATCTTGTCGGAGTTCTGTGCAGCAGTGCAAAGCACCCGCTGTACGCCACACTTGCTATGTTTTCATCACCAGGCAAAAACAATCACGGATGTTGTTGACAAGGTGAAGACTTTTTCCAGGGGTTTCCTTCACATCTCTTCGCAGGCTCTCTGCGGCTACAGTCCAAATCGCCCAAATCCACCTTCCAGTGACCAGAGAACATGTGTCCAGGTGGGTTCGGCGCCCTTCGATGAGGCAGAATGCAAGACATTTCACAACATCCCCTTTTTTCTCAGAGCTTCTGGCTTCCTTCGCAACATGGCAAAGATGCTGTGAAGAGAGGCCTCAGCTGCACGTCTCCGGGGCATTATGTTTGCAGCAGTAACAGCAGCAGCCATCAATGTCTCCCGCGCAGGCGCGGGGGCTGCTAACATGCTGCATCAGAGGGTTACTTGTGATGTCAAGGTTCAAAAAGGTGGTGCAGGGGTTTGGATTATTAGATCCATATACTTGACTCTAACCCGGCTGGCTGCAAGAGACCTGGATGCAAAAGATCCATATATTGTAACAATAGAATCAGTACTCGGGACAGTCCTAGCTTTGTTCAGAGCTCGACACTTCACGGCTGAGTGCGAGTGGCATCTTGGCCAGGCTGCGACCCACCAACTGCAACCCAGCTGAAGGAGGCTGGGGCAAGTCGACACAGATCGAGAAGAGCTTCATACACGGACTAAGACTAAGAAGGTGATCCTTCAGTACATGCCCATCTTGAGAAATGTCACGGCAGTTCTCCATGTGTTTCCTAAATGGATGACGCCACGCTGTCGGAAGAAGCAGCCACCGAGGTGATAGCAGCGAAAAGGTGAGCTCTTGCCGATCAGCGTCTGCAGCGCTGCGGCGCGATCGGTTTCAAAACAATGCCTTAGGCCCCTCAAGGCGAGTACGTCCATGAATGCATACCAAGCAGTGGGGTTTGGTGCTTAGAGGTGCCATCATCTGACTCTGCAGCACGACTTCCGAATCGAAGCTCTCGCGACACGTGAACACCTGCAAGAACACAGAACCGCCTGAATCTGCCCATCCTTGCCTTGATGCAGCGCCTCGTCATAGGATTCGGATGCTTACACGCTCGCCACTACAGAGTCAGTGTAGACTAAACGTTGCAGGGCATCATTCAATGGGATAGCACGATGACGAACGAAAGCGTCTTTATGGGGCACCCCTCCCCCATTGCCCCCAATACCCCAGATATACTGTATTCCGCAGACCTCAGGCTAATGATCCAGCATGAACACTGCGTACAAGAGTGCCCGCCCACGGCTTAAGAACATATGCCAGTGACGTAGGGCTACAAGTTTCTACCAGGGTTTTCCTTTTGCGGGAGGAACGGCACAATGTCACGCGACAATATGGCTCAGGGAGGTTCGTGGAAACATGTTGCCCCGGATTGCGCCGCATCATCAACTCAGAGTTTGCAGCACAAAGAGATGGAGGGCCATGGCGTCGCCCGGCCCGGGGGGTGTCTACGAATCCATCTACACTGGGCTGGCGGCAGGGGTTGCAAAGAATGCTGAGTCTGGTTGGCGGGGGGGCGGAGGCTTCAACCACAGCAAGCAAGCTAGCCACGTGGAGCACCGCTAGACGGGTGGCAAAACTGTTGTGGCCTTTGGTGTCCTCGACAAACGACAAGGGCTTAGGGTTTACATGTAGAACCTCTAAAAAACCAGGGTCTGAGACGAAACCCCGGGTTTTGAGTGTTCAGACCTCCAAACACTGGGTTTAGGGAAAATCTCGGGTTGTTGGCCTAGGTAGGATAAGGGCTTCTGAACCCTCTTCTGGCTCTCTTCAACAGGGCCCTTATTGAGAGGGTCTATATCCCCAAGCGTCCCCCCAATCCTATCCCCTATTTGGGTGGGTTCAGGGCAAAGAAAGATACTTTTAGGTGCGCTGGGGCCTCGCTTTGGCACCGAAGTGGCTCAAACGCCTGCACAGAACCCCCTCCACAAACCCTGTAGAGGCCCTAGAAAATGCAGAGCATGTGCTAAAGACCAGGGGCGAAACCTAACTCCTACCCTATATAGAAATTTTATAAGATATGTGCTGAAACCAGGAGCGAAGCCCAGAATTCGTAATTCAATCAGAAACCTGCGCAATGGTCTCAAGAACTTTGCACCCATTGCCGAGAACTCAGTCTGCTGCTCACTCATTTCAGGGAACAGCGAGAAGGCACTGATATGTTGCATTCGCTTGTGCAGCTCAAGCGGTGCTAGATCTGTAGTTGCATCAGTGCGTGGGGCAAGGGTTTAGGGTTTAGGTATTCTGAAGCAAAAAGGGTTCAGGGTTTACCCAGCGGGTTCGATTACAGGCGTGGTTCCGTATGGTTTCTTCCAGCATTCGTGGGTGTTGTGCCGGGAAAAGAAGGTTTCAATGTGGTGATTTTCCGGGATTTCGGGATTGAACGATTTCATGAGTGCCGCAACTCTGAAATCGTGTGAACTCTACGCGCAGGCCACGTTTCCAGAAAGGCACTAGTTAAGCATCCAGGCAATGGCGGAGCCCCGCCCCCCCCACCAACCCCAGCCCCCCCCCCCCCCAACCAACCCCCACCGCCCCCCCCCCCCCCCCCCACCAACCCCACCCCACCCACCACCCCCCCCCCCCCCCCCCCCCCCCCCCCCCCCCCCCTCCCCCCCCCCCCCCCCACACCCCCACCCCCTCCCCCCACCCCCCAACCCCACCAGCCGCCGTCAACAAACAGCATGTCGAAACAAAGATGGGAAAATCAAAGATAACTGTCACAGGCAACTCTGAAAGCATGTGAAATCTACGCACAGGCCACGTTGGCAGGAAGGCAACTCTGAAATCCTGTGACTTCTGCATGCAGGATGCGTTTTCAGTAAGGCGGCAGTTGCACATCTAGCCATCGTCGCCCAGGGGTGCACACTGAACGCATGGAAAAACCACCCCTGTAACCGAACTCGGCTGCAGGGTTTAGGGCATGTCTGCCCAGGTTGCCAACATGAGTGAAGGACAGGATGGCCGTGGTGGCGTTCTGCGCCCGGGTTTTCGCAAGGCACACCAACGAACTGCATTGACTCAACCTGGAAGGAATGGTGTCTCGCGTGACTTTTCGCCCAAGCAAAGATGGGGGCTTCCATGTTGGAGCAGGTTCTGGCACAAAGGTTATTCGAGCTCGAACATCCGACGACGAGCCTGTATCCCAGTCAGCTGTGACCGTCGCAGTTGTTCGAGGCAAGCGCCTTTAGCTACGGGACATGATGCAACTCTCCTGAGGATTCTCTCGGCACCTGTCACGTAGTGGCATGTCGAGTCTCTTTATAGCTACATTGGCAAGCGGCGTTGATATCACCCACTTAGAAGCTTGCACAAAGCTGCTCATGGGCGCTATCATGCTTTGTGTAGCCCAGAAGAATGGAGAGTTAGATTTCGATCCACTGCTTTGCTAATGGCGGAGATCTTGCGCTCACTGTGAGGAAATGGTGGGACGATAACGTGCCCCGGCATTGCATGTGTCCTCTTCGCGACGGTGTACAGGATTGTAAGAATGTATGCGCAAGACGCGCGAGGCTGCGGATCACAACTTCCTTGCAACAGAGGGGCGGCGACATAACGACTAGTAAGTCCGGGCGTGCCCGTGGTCCGACGCCGCCCCTTGGGGCCACATACGCCGCCGACCCGGTTGGGAAGCCAACATCCGGGTCCAAGCACGCTGTTTTAGGTGCTTTTTGTATCGGCGGTTTTCATGCAGGGTTGGGCACCAGAGACTTTCTGGGGATACTCAGAAACTCGCTTCAGGGACTCGCTGGCACACCAGAGACTCTTCAGGGACTCGGGGTTGGGCACTCCAGGGACCGTCTGGGGAGAGTGTGGGGATACTTGGGGTTTGGGCACTGCAGGGACTCTCTGGGGATACTCTGGGGTGGGATACGGAAAGTTGAACAACTCACACCGAGGGTGGGGAAAAGAATCCTTCTTGCGCCCAAACCCTGGTTCTTGTCGGTTCGGGGCTCGCCCGGCTGCGTGCATCGAGTAGCGGCACGTCGAGGTACAGTGACCATGAGCGGGCCGCGTTCGAGCGAGGGTATCGAGCCGCAGTGCAAGATATGCTCGTGTTGGTCAGCTTCTGAGATGACCCAGTCTGAACCTGGCATTCAAACCTCCCCAAGCAGTTACTATCATTGCTATTATCACTGATAATACTGTGAATAATAATAATTATTATTACTATTATGATCATAATAATAATCATCATATTGGTGTTTGTCACAATATTTTTGATATTGTGAACCTGCAAAGATTGGCGCCGGACTCGCCGGCGCGACCTTCTTGACGGTTTGCACGACTCCTCAGCGAAGATTCGAGCTCTTTTTCAGGGTTTAGGGTTTAGGGTAAGTGAAAATGCCACTGTCTCAGGCTTGTCCCCGGCCTTGTACCAAAAGGCGGCTCGGCCAACATACACTTTTGCATCGGCCCTTGTTGCCATGCAGGTTCGCGAAAAGGTGCGACCCTGGGTTGTTAGACAAGTGGAGTCGCGGGCTCGGCTTCAGCTTCCCCCCAGCACTCGTCCAAGGGTTTAGGGTTTAGGGTTTAGGGTTTAGGGTTTAGGACGTTTTTATCGTCATGTGCGACTCAGACTGGGGCGCCCGTGGGTGATCTGGGTGCAGCAAGCCAGGCCGAGAACCTACTGAGAGGTTCATGGTACTTCTATCCCAGTTATAACTGTACTTATCACCCACTTAGTAAGTGCCCCGACATGGTTATGATTGGAAGATAAGTACATTTTATTGGGGTTAGTAAGTACCCTGAACCTCCAAGTGCAATGTGTGGCGCAAAGTCGCTTTCCCTAAGCTACCCTAAGCCTTGGCGATTCTTCCGAGACTGTTAGCTTTGGACATCGTTTGGACGCTTTGAAGTTTGGCTTGTCGGCTTCTGTGACTCTGTGAGATCAGGAAACACATCCCTAAACCCGAAACCCTAAACCCTGAACCCTAAATCCCTAGCTGACCTGCCGACCTATTTCCAGACTTGGGCTTGACTGGCTTTCATGCTGTGTCCTCCTACAGTTCACCCCGCATTGCATGGCTAGGCGGGTGGCAAAACCCTGAGCCCTGAACCCTGCAGTCGTGTGATGCCCTAAGCCGACCTATCCTGCGATGGCATTTGTCTGCGCGATGTCTTTCAAGACACGGTTTCGCTTTCTCGATCCTGCCCTGAGCGCCAGCTAGGCGGGCTGCAAAAAAAACCTGGAATCTTGCTGCAGAGACTGCGCAGGCATCCTCTGTTGGACCGGATCCACCTCTTGGCTGCCAACTCCTGTGGGGTGACCAGCCCAGACCATCTGTGCTGGTTCTCAGTAATTGGGGAACGAGCGAGTTCGGTGCCTTTGGAACAGTTGCACCCTGTTTAGCATCAGGGCCTCCCCCCCACCCCTCCTCCCTGTATGCTGGAGAGCTTGTCTGACCACTCTGTTTTGCAGTGTTCGCGCTCTGTTGACGGTCCTTGGGCTTGAAGGTACTTGACTTATGGTATAGTGCTTTTCTCGATCCTGGATGGTTTGCGTGCTGAAGTCCAGACAGAGAGTGTTAAGGCATCTCTCTTGGAGGGCAAAGTCCGACACTAACAGTTTCTGCGACGATTTCTCCTCTTCTTCGACATCTCATGACAGTATGGTCCCTGCAATGTGGCCTGAGTGTCAGCTAGGCGGGTGGCAAAAAAACCCTAAACTGAAGCTGGAATCTGGCCAACGCTTGAAGCTTGAGGCTCAAAAGAGTTTTTGTCGGCTCCCTGGCAGGGGGTCGGAAGCACCTCGCATGATTCCGGGTAACCGAACTTATCATTCGAGGGCCTCTGACAGTTCTTTTTCAATCTTGGCAGAATACTTGCAAGAATAGGTGGCTAAAACGAGGGCAAAATTAGGGACATAAGGTGCCAGTACGCCACGTGTACCTCCAGCACATGCATTCACCACTGTTTATGCAAGAATCACCTGGACGCTTTGACCCCTGCTTGGCTGCATAGCACATAAGCACACATCGAGGTAAGCACGTGTTACCATGCCCCATCGTAGAATACGCTAATCATGAACTCATTGTGGCAAGGGTGTTGAAAGTTAGACACGCCAGTCGAGTAGCTTCAGCAGAATTGAAATCATGGAAAGCACAGTCGTGATCTCAAAAGCACAACCAATCTGCATCGTCAGGACTTGCATCATCGGTCTCTAGACAGCCCAGCCGAATGAGGACCGTGGACAACCCCATGAAGTCACGGCTTTCTATTGACTCCTCCATGTTGCAAGCAGTCAGCACCTGAAAAGGGGCACTGACCCCTGTATTTCGACGGAGCGTCTAAGTCGGCCTGCAATGGGCCGCTTGCGTACCATCTTCTGCCGCAGCGGACGAGAAGCCACCGAGCTGATATGTGAGAGAGAAAGAGAGAAAGAGAGAAAGAGAGAAAGAGAGAAAGAGAGAAAGAGAGAAAGAGAGAAAGAGAGAAAGAGAGAAAGAGAGAAAGAGAGAAAGAGAGAAAGAGAGAAAGAGAGAAAGAGAGAAAGAGAGAAAGAGAGAAATAGAGAAAGAGAGAAAGAGAGAAAGAGAGAAAGAGAGAAAGAGAGAAAGAGAGAAAGAGAGAAAGAGAGGAAAGAGAGAAAGAGAGAAAGAGAGAAAGAGAGAAAGAGAGGAAGAGAGGAAGAGAGGAAGAGAGAAAGAGAGAAAGAGAGAAAGAGAGAAAGAGAGAAAGAGAGAAAGAGAGAAAGAGAGAAAGAGAGAAAGAGAGAAAGAGAGAAAGAGAGAAAGAGCGAAAGAGCGAAAGAGCGAAAGAGCGAAAGAGCGAAAGAGCGAAAGAGCGAAAGAGCGAAAGAGCGAAGAGCGGAAGAGCGAAAGAGCGAGAGCGAAAGAGAGAGAGAGCTTTGGCAACCGGTCCCAAGCCAGCAAGCGCTGTCTCGAAGGAAGCCAGCTACCTTCTTTCTGCAAAGGGCATACGTTTTTTGAAACCGCCAACTTCCGCTGCTCCCAGAAATTTTGCATGTTGCACTCCGAATGCTGCAGAGCCACGAACTTGATATCCACACAATGTTCACTGAAACGGCATTTGAAAGCTGTATCCGGGTCTGTGTTCAAGGGCAAGGCGAGAATGTCGCAGTGCACACCATAGTAAGCAGACCAGGGGTTTGAACTAGGGTCAGCTTGTTTCGTATTCACACGAGCAACTTGTTCCACCTGCAATCTCCACAGTGTACTGGAGGGGGACCCAGTTGCCCGTTGTGGGATCTCTTCCCCACTCGGTGGGGCCGAAATTCTATGATGTCTGCTGTATAACATCAGAGCTTGGGATGTTCACCCTTATACTAACAGTCCTTGCTAGGGATCATGGTGCCCCCTGTAATGATCCCTATTCAGGACTGTTAGTATCGCGGGCACATCCCAACTTGAAGCCCCTGTCCCACTGCTTAGGTGTCCATGGATGTGGATGAGGCACGCGCTTTTGCTTTTCTGCTGCTTCCACATTCTTGATGGAAGAGTGCCCCCGGGTCGGTTCAAGCGGCTGATAGAACAAAATGCACACATGTAAATACATATGTACATATATATATATATATTTAGAGGAGCATGCCTTGCCCACTTCGCCCGCAAGGAGAACACAACTGTCCGCGAATTGAGATCACAAGTGCTTTCGACACTTGGGCGGGTCGAGGCAGGGAGCAACATTTTCATGATTCATCAGTGCATCGCACACTCCGACACTTCTGCTGCTTACCCCAGCACGTGTTGAGGCAAGCACCAAGCAACCCATGGCAGGACCTCGCAAAAATTGTGATTGAACATCCAACTGCAAGTTTCGGAGACCGCACAACTGTGACATGCTGTGACCGTGCAAGAATCCTTCTGAAACGATGTCGCCATGTCATTATGTGAGCTGCAATAACTCTACTAGGTGGGCCCTTGGGACATTTTTTGTTTTCCCTTATTGGGTTCAAGAGGGCTGTATTTAGGAATATTTTTCAGAAGGCTTTAAGGGCCATCCTAGTGTACATTGTCTTCATGAGATGTGCTTCTTGGAAAGTTTGCCTCTCGAGTGCCACAGGAGACGGGGGCATGATGTGCTTAGTCAGCAACGAGCACGTGGCGGACCTGCTGGGATTGACTGCGGATGTGCTGGCACCGAGCTTAGTATCATCTCCTGCCTGGACATGTGCATTGTACTGTACTGCTGGGAACGGGGTTTTTCATCAGGAGGAAGTGAAAGGTATGCTATATATATGCAGGGTTCAGCGAAGTGGATGTGCTGCAGTCCATGGCCCAAGAACAGTTGCAAGACAGTGCAGGCAGTACGTGCAAGACGCGACCCAAGGATGGAATGCACGCACGAGTTCTGGTTAAAGACGCATGTCCTACAGCTCCGAAGCTTGCATCGATTTTGCGCACAATACAGTCACAAAGCCTTCGAGAGGCAGACCTGCGAGTCTTTGCCATATCTACTCATCATATTGTCGGGGACATGAGCGCTGACCAGCAGCACCTTACCGTGCCGCGCGATTCACCTGTTGCTCACAGCCTGGGCCTCAGTCCCGACCCTTGTTTCGATTGGACAGCGGAGTTGTTGCCAGTTCAGGTCAAAGCAGCATTGCTGCGCGTGGCTATGCTGGGGGCAAGGGCAGCAAGAGTGGCAAGGGCATCTTGCGTGCGGGAAGCGATTGCAGTTGGGCAACTCTGCCGAAAAGCTGTTTGTGCCAGACAACCCTTAATGCTGAACTCATGCAGATTGTGTCGTCGTGTTCACAGGTCCGGCAAACGTCGTCGCCATTGGTGATGATGCACAGCTCTAGACAGCCCCTTGCATCAGTGCAGGAGGCTGAGGTGGGGTACTTTGAGCCTGAAGAACCGCGGGTGCAATGCGGGATGGGTTTGAGATGCTCCGTGGATGGACAGGTTGCCGAGAACCGGCAAGCCGGTGTGCATCCTCCTCACGCTCAGGAGCAAGGTGGCAGTCCACAGCAATTGATCGCATGTGCCACACAGGTTCGAGCTCTAGACTCTGCGAAGCAGTGGTACAGCAACACAAACGATCTTTGTTTTGAGGCTGGCGGCGTCCATTTTCATGGTGGTTTTGCGGGTAGCTCATGCAACTGCACTGTGACAGGACTTGGACAGATTGAGCGCCGAGCGTCTGCGCCTGCGCTTCTACACGGCTCGGGTCAGACCGCCTCACCTGCGAAGCTTGTCTCAATAACGTAGCTGTGGGCCTCCGCACTTGAGTCAGAAGATCGCAGCTCGAGGAACTCTAATCGCACCAAGAAGAGCGTCGCGTTTGGGCTTCGATAAAGCATTGTCATTGGTGGCGAGAACTTCTCAGAAGGTCGTCGAATTTCTGAGGTAGAGGATCAAAAGAGGGCTCATGCCATCCAACAGTGGTGGGCAGAGAGGCGGCGCTTGGGCTATGACACCTACCATGGGGAGGAACAGATTTCGTCTCCGAGCCACAGCCCTGCCAGTAGTCCGGAACTGCCAGTGGGGCGGCCGCGGTCGACCGTCATTGCGGACATGGAAAGCGACGGCGGATGCGTCCCTCTCCCTGGAAGGCGGCGCACGAGGACCGACTTTTCTGCCGCGGACCTGGACGGCAGCGACCGTGAGGACGGTCTGGGAGCATTCGCTCGCATCGAGTAGAACTGTGTAGAACTCGCCGGTCTTTTTCCCAACATTTATGGGCCTCATTCTGTCTGAGGCCGCCGACCCAAGAGGCGTGCTTTCCCTAGAAACCCCCAGAGACCCCAACAACCTGGATGGGTAGTAGGTGTTTGGTGGTGTCGGGTTAGGACCGGAGTTTAGGTTTAGGGCAACAAAAGGAGACGAGCCCGGCAATGCTCCCACAGGAATGGTGATGTCCGGTTGGTTCTCGTGAATTTGTTGCAGTCGATTCAGCTCGAGATTCAGGGCATGCTCATTGATGTACTGGGAGTGCAGTCGCAATTTCCCGTCTAGAGTCGATTCACAATCGGGCCTTCCAACGATTTCAGCGTGGTGCTCTACAGTTTCATCTCAGAAATTGAGTGATCCTTATGTAAACCCAACAAGCACTGGTGCAGCGCCCCAGGCGGATTCCAAACCAAACCAGCCCGTTCACAAAAGGGTTTTGGGGTTTAGGCCGGAGTCCCAGCAAGCTTGTCCGAGTCTGAGTTGGGTGAACCGCAAACCGCCAACCACAGTAACTAACCTCAATGTACCCCACCAAGAAATTAAGTAAATTAAAAAACCTTCTACAAAGCCCCCCCCCCCCAGAAGGACGGTTTCTGAGAAACTTCATCTGGTAGTGCTTCAGAGGATCCTGCCATGGTTCCGCAACGTTTTTTCGTGCTTCCCCCATCTCGCCCTTATCTTGCAGCCCTGGTTTCAGGACTGGGCTGCCAGTCTGCCACTATCTACTGGAGGGACGGATGAGATTTGCCGAAATGATGCACCCAATCTCCTCCAAGACTTCAACTCTTTGCAAATTTTGCCAAAGTCGAAGCCATGCCTGCCCAGCCTCGACGAGTTTCTGACCGAGCCCCGGAGCTTGTCAGAGTTTTTAGCACCAGGCTCACCGGGGGTTCTTCGAAACAGCTGAGTCGATTGTGGGTAGTGGGGCTGGAATCAGGCTACTGTTGGCAAGTCACGGGGCTTGCGGTCACTATTGTAGACCACTCTGATACCCCTGGCCGGGGACAGAGTCAAGGCATTTAGCGACCTGAACGGTGAGCAGCACACTTTTCGTGAAGTGTTGAACCTTGGGAAATCTTGGGAGGTGCTGAGCGGGGGTTGCCGGAGGAGTTGTAAAAATGCATGCAAATGCACTCCATGCACGCGTAGGGCCTTTGTAGGTTAAGAGGAGTTAGACTAGACAGACTCAAGATGAGCAAGATGAGCAAACTGTCACCATGACACCCTTGGCAGACGATGATCACAGTGACAAGCGCCGCTGCTGGACGGCAGACGTGTCAGAGTTGCAGTCGTGACGATCCACCCTTGAAGACCACCAAAGCGCCCAGGCTGTTCGTTGGAAAGCCCTTTAGGGTTTAGGGTTTAGGGTTTAGGGTGTAGGGTTTAGGGTTTAGGGTTTAGGGTTTAGGGTTTGAATCTGAGGAATTTGCTGACATGTCGTCGTAAGTCACCAATCAAGATGGTCGGAAGGCGGTGCTGTGCATGAATGCTTCTGACTTGCGGTTGCCTTGGGACACTGAGGAATTGCAGAGCCAGGCTTTTCGTGAGTACCGTGGCAAGTGAGACCCTCATGGTCAGATGGGAAGAGAGGTGTGGGGGCCTCTTGAGGATGCCATTGCAAAGCAATGTGCTCCTACCATGCTCCTATTATGTTTTGCAAATGCCTTTTGTAAAGCAATCGGCCAGCACAAGCCCCCCCCAAATTACCGGGCATTCTCTTGCTACACACCTGGCGTCATTTTCGCAAGCTGATGCCAGGCTTTTGCTTCGGGATTGCCATTTGCAGCAAAAAAACAACAACGGCGTCTCGAGATCATCGTGAAGCGTCAAGCAAGGCATAGCTTTTCTGCCCAGATTCCGCCTTCGGGCTTCCGGGACACTTCGCTGCTGCAGCCCTGGTCGCTTGAGTCGATGGTGGTTCGGTTGGGTCAACCCGCCACGCTTGTGCGCTACATTGTGCAGAAGAGCGACTCAGCCGGTGGATCTTGACGTAACTATCTTGGATCCTGGACGACTATGTTACCTGCACAGCCTTGATATTCTTGATTTCCATTCTTGATTTCCATGCCCGCAGAGAGCTCCAACCACATTGTGCATGAAGGTACCATCAAAGAGCAGAGTGCTTCAAACACCGATGCGTTGCCCTCAGTATCCTTGATTCGTCCTGTGGTGAAGTGGGGCTGATGCTGCTCTGAGGCTCCAGCTGACATGAGATCAAGGCGCCATGCCGACGGAATCGTTAAACTCATGGCCTTGCACGCGAATAGGTCGCCTTGCGATGAGTCATGCTTTGTTGCATTGATTGTCGGTTCGTGTGAGGCTTGGCCAGAAGCCAATCAGCTTCTGGGGCGTAGCACTCTTCTCAGATTGTTAACCATCGCTTGCGTGTTCATCGCTGGATTTTTTCTTCCTGGCCAAGGAAGCGATCTCCGTGCTGGAAACCCGATATGGACATGGCTACATACTATTTGGGAGCGATTAACAATGTGTCTAGTCGCTCCCATCTCTGCCAACGTACTGTTTTTTTGCACAAGCTGCCCATGCTTTGGGCTGTACTACTTGTACAGTGGCTCTGCGGTCCTCGAAGGAGGAATAGCCTCTGCCAGCCTGCACTGACTCTGTCCCGGCAGTCCTGGATCAGTCTGTACGTCGGCGCTCTGCTGCTTTTTCCGCCCACGGGTCCTGGCAAAGCTCCAGAACAGAAGGCTTCACGTGGTGCTTTGTCAGGTCAGCAGAGAGGGCCTTCAGGCACCAAAGGTGTCGTGCACAATGCAAAGAGGCGCCAACGAGAGCGCAGGCGCAAGTTCAAAAGGTGAGTTGAAGCGAGACTGCAGCTATTGTATTATTATTATTATTATTATTATTATTATTATTATTATTAGTATTACTATTATTATTGTTATTGTTATTGTTATTGTTAAAATATTCTTGTTATTATTAATATTTAGTGTTTTTATTATTATGATTGTTATCATTATAGCTTGTGCCATGTTTCTGGATCTAGCCCTCACAAATGGTGATCAGATACTGTTCTACATCACTGCGTTGCCCTTCCTGTTCTGGGTCCGGATCTCATGGCCTCTTCAACACTTCGACTGACACAAAGGGCGCGTTCCAGACAGGTTTAGGGTTTAGGGTTTAGGGTTTAGGGTTTAGGGTTTAGGGTTTAGGGGAACTTGTGGTGAGGCTGGAGAGCTGCAGCGACGTCCTCAGTCCCAGCTCACGTGCCAAGTGCGCTACCGCAGCATCCGCAGCACAAGCCGGGATTTGTCGTCAGGCTGGCGAGACAGCTGACATCGTAGCTGGCCCAGCTGAAAAACTCCGTGGACTCCTTGCGGTTTTGTGGAGCATGGGGTGCGCCGAGGTTCATGGCGTTCTGCATCTATGCCCAAGCCCGTGATGCAACCAGTGTTGCAGCGTTGTCATGTGTTGTCTAAGTGGGTGCCTCTACTTGGCCGGATCGCTTGCTGGAGGTTGGGAATGCTGTCAAGGATGCCATCAGTGCACCACGGTTCGTCAGCTCAGCTTCTTAGTGCCTAAGCTCCTATCGTTTTGTCTCGGGGGCCAACTCAGCACACTTAACTATGGCTGGATATGGCTGGGCAGAAATTTTACGAATGCGGTTGGCCCAAAAGTGCCCCCAGGTCTGTACTTTGGAATGTTTTGAAGCACTCGACAGTCAATCGAAGCACTCGACGGATGACAGTAACTAAACCTACCTGGGCAAGCAAGAGACGCGAGGCTTTGCAGGCGTGTCCATTCTGATCTCACGGCCGTAGACTTGCCCAAAACGGGCAGGGATGTTGACTCGCTTGGGCTCACGGGGTGCTTCAAGGGCACATCTCTTGGATCTCCTGCGGTGTCTTTGAGGGCAGTCAGTCAGAAATGGTGCAAAGCATCTTCTGCACAGACTTATTGGGCACATGTTTCCTCAGTTTTGAGGTCGCTTCTTCTGATGTAATGGTACAACCTGCAAGCATGGTTGCCGTGTGATTGTAGCAGGGTTCGAGAGGAGATGCCCGACATTCTTGCAGGAGGGGGGTGCGGGGTACTTGTCTCAAGTGCATGCAGTGCAGTGTGGTGTTAGTTTTGTAGTTGAGCTTTGTTGTGTGTGAGGTGGTCTGCTGGTGAGGCCCTGTAGACGATCTGGTCCTGGTGCTCCAAGATTTTTTCTGCTGTTAATCTTGGCTCCTGCTCTGCAAGCGTCGCCCAAGATTGCAGAGCTCATGGAGGCGTAGGTAGGACAAGGGGAAGTGATGTGCCGAAGAAGGCCACCTATTTTTAGACTTTAAACACCACGTTGCTCCTCTCTCCCAGGCCCGACTGGAAGAAGGGGGTTCGTTTCGTCGGCCGCCACCTCGGCCGAACCAGAATTCAAATTTACTTCAAGCACTGTGCCAGCACTGTGCATGGATGGAAGGTGGCAGCGGCAGCGACGGTTCGCCAGCATCCCAGGTCAATGCCGGGGTGTGTGGGTAGGTGGGTAGGTATGTAGGTATGTACGTACGTGCGTATGTACGCACGTACGAAGTGTGTGTGTGTGTGTGTGTGTGTGTGTGTGTGTGTGTGTGTGTGTGTGTGTGTGTGTCGGCGTCGGCGTCTGCGTCTGTGTCTGCGTCTGTGTCTCTGTGTGTCTGTGTGTCTGTGTCTCTGTGTCTCTGTGTCTGTGTGTCTCTGTGTGTCTCTGTGTGTGTGTGTGTGTGTGTGTGGGTGGGTGTGGGTGCGTGCGTGCGTGCGTGCGTGCGTGCGTGCGTGCGTGCGTGCGTGCGTGCGTGCGGGCGTGCGTGCGTGCGGGCGTGCGTGCGTGCGTGCGTGCGTGCGTGCGTGCGTGCGTGCGTGCGTGCGTGCGTGCGTGCGTGCGTGCGTGCGTGCG